CACAGCTAACTGAACATCTGGCACAGCTAACTGAACATCTGGCACAGCTAACTGAACATCTGGCACAGCTAACTGAACATCTGGCCACGCTAACTGAGCATCTGGCCCCACTAACTGAGCATCTGACCCCGCTAACTGAGCATCTGACCCCGCTAACTGAGTATCTGACCCCGCTAACTGAGCATCTGGCCCCACTAACTGAGCATCTGACCCCGCTAACTGAGTATCTGACCCCGCTAACTGAGCATCTGGCCCCACTAACTGAGCATCTGACCCCGCTAACTGAGTATCTGACCCCGCTAACTGAGCATCTGGCACCGCTAACTGAGCATCTGGCACMGCTAMCTGARCATCTGACCCCGCTAACTGAGCATCTGGCACCGCTAACTGAGCATCTGGCCCCACTAACTGAGCATCTGGCCATGGTAACTGAACATCTGGCCCCGCTAACTGAACATCTGGCCCCGCTAAATGAGCATCTGACCCCGCTAACTGAACATCTGGCCCCGCTAACTGAGAAGCCGATGCTGGTACATGAGAAGGAGACTATTCATTTGTGTTAGCATTGGAGAGACTTGTGACTAGCATGGATAAGCTGGTGTTAGCATTGGAGAGGCTAGTGACAAGCATGGATAAGTTGGTGTTAGCATTAGATAGGCTAGCAACTAGCATGTATAAGCTGGTGTTAGCATTGGAGAGGCTAGGTACTAGCATGGATAAGCTGGTGTTAGCATTAGAGAGGCTGGCAACTAGCATGGATAAGCTGGTGTTAGCATTGGAGAGGCTAATGACTAGCGTGCCTAGGCTGCTAGTATGCTATTATGAGAAATATCTATGACAGAGTATTAGGGCCACACAATGAGATTTTTATTTATCATTATTACGACAATAAAGTCATAATATTATGAGAATAAAGTCATAACTTTACAAGATAAAAGTTGTAATATTACAAAATTAAAGTCGTAAATTCACGAGAAAAAGTCATAATATTACAAAAAAAGTCATAATCTTACATGTTGCGTCCATTTTCTGTTCTTCATTTCCTCCTTATTTTCCTCACACTGTGTCTGTGTTTATATGACCTGAGTCACCGTTAGATTAATATGCTTTCATTTAAATTAGTTACGTGATAAATAAATCTGTCAGTGCATCTATTAATTACAATACAGCTTCAGTTTATAGTCGTTTGCACAATTTCCAAGTTTATTTCCATGCGACTTTAATGTCTTTAATTTCGTAATATTATGACTTTATTCTCGTAATTTAAAAAAAATTAAAAATCTTGTGTAGCCCTAATACTCTATCTGTATATGATATAAATTATAATTTAATATAGAGAACCCTAATTTAACATCCTGTCCAAAACTGTAAGAAGCCACAGTTAGTTCTAACATTTCTCGTTATTCAGCTAAAAAGAAAAAGAAAAAGCGCAGCTGTCAGCAGATCAGGGCAAACAGCTGCTAATCCAGGTGGTAACTACAGCTGTCTGCTTCACAGTAACAGGTTTTATGTTTAATATTTATGCTTCACATCATGTCGAACAGTAAAATCTGTCGAAGGAACACCTGTCCTCGCTTTAACGTTTTATATGACAAACGTTTTTGTTGAGAAAAGTTTCTTTATTCAAAAAGGCGAGCAGCCTAGCATGCTAGCTGCTAGCCTCTCTGCACATCCAGGGATCAATTCCTGCAAGTTTTATTCAAACCCGTTGACCGGTTCACAAGAACTTCCTGTAGAAGTGTTTCAGAACTGAGCCCAGTTTGATGAGATACCCGAACCATTAAAGCTGCTGTATGTAGTTTCTTGGGTACCCAAAAACTTAGAAAATTTTGAACAGAAACAACCTTGTAGTCCCTCCCCCTGCTCTCAGCTCCCCTTCCTAGGCTCCTCCCCCACAGCAGGGCCCAGATACGTGAGTGCGCACGCTTGTAAACAGGAGGTGATCTCACCGTAACACACAGAGCTCAGAGCTAAGCTGCCGTCACGGGTAAGA